TGGTAATATTGCGCCGACTGCTTCTAAAGGCATTTTTCCTAAGTAACCTAAATAAATTTTTCCTCTGTTTTGTCGTAGCCTTTTCTACTCAGAACTTGGCTTAGATTTTGATATGGTTTTCGGAGGAGCGTTTTTTGGAGTGGGATTGTAGGTACCAAGTAAGTTCCCAAAAGAGATTACTGAGAAATATCATTACAAGGTCCTTGTAACTAAAGGCTTTCCTAATTTGAAATATAAGATTGCTTTTATGCGCACACTGAACAATAATTACTTCTGGATGTGTTTTAAATTTTAGAGGGAGCGAATTAATTGATTTTTATATTTATTCTTTTTTTAACTGTTACATATTCAATCCCCTTCTACATACAGGCAAGGGGACAAGTGGGACTGAATGTGTACTGGAGAGGACTAGAGAAACGCGAAACTTACGATAGACGTACCGAAATTTTGTTCATTAGTCAGGACCGTACCGGTAAGACAAGTCTCAGGAGATACCTCAGAGGTGAAGCATTTGATAAAGGTGAAGCCAGCGCTGATGGGATTGAAATAATGATTCCCTCTGTCAAGAGCGCAGGAAAAGGGGCATGGAGGAACCCAGCCGCTCTTGAAAACACAAGTGCACTTGACCACAAGTGCGCAGAAGAGGTTACAAAAGAGATACTCAGCAACTCTGCAGAACAATCAGATGGGACTCAACTGCTTACTGAAGTACGAAAGAAAACAAGAGGCGAACCTACATTTGGAAAGAAAGCCACTGAAGAACGTGCAAGTCACCACCTTGCTCAGGAACTCTTTCTTTCTAGTCCTTCCTTCGAAGTAGTTTAGAAGTTCTGTTTTAATATTCTTTCCATCTTTTTCTCCGTTCTTGGTTTTTTTGTTTGCTTGTTTTCGTGTACAATTTACCAAACAGGGGAAATTCTCTTCTAGCTGGTGGCAGTTCTTAGCTTTCAGTAGTGCGGTAGATTTTTAAGAATTCAAGAAATTACTCGACCCAGATTCTGCCTAATTTGAAGCCTGGACTATTGTCCGTACAACTCAAAACAAAGAAAAAGAAATTAAAGAAATCAATACATTGATATTATTATCTACATCTGCAGCTTACATTAACTACAGCCTCTTTACAGAGTC